AAAAAAAAAAAAAATAAATAAATAAATTACTTTCATCTTAAACTATGAAAGTAAAGTTTTTACCTCAAGCTTGTGTAACAATTCTGAGTTAAATTTGTGCTCTAATTAAGGAACTTCCGTGCTAAAAACACTTGAAGAGCTTCAAGGATAATTCGCGTATTCCTACAGCAATGAAGTATCACGTAAATAAATACCTAATTTCTGGAGTGCATATTTTAAGGCAGCCAGAGCAATTTGAGAAGGTGGATATAGCAACATAGCGTCACCAAATAATGCTTTCTAAAAAAAATTGCTCACTTTTTTTTAAATAAAAATAAGTTTTGCCCACCACAAATGGCAAAAGTTGAAGTACCAAAAACTATGGAGTGGATTGAATGTAACAGTGTACGGTATTTCAAGCACATCTTTATAAAAGTTGACTTATAGACTTTTTCTAAAAATTTTTTGCCCAACGAGGATCATCACTTAGTCTGGAGGCTTATAAGAACACTAACAAAGATTTTTCCCGTTAAAGATTTATGATGAATGTGATTACGCTAGAGGTTTTATAGCTATGTTCATTTCAAGGTAGTTTTAGCTCCTGCTAACTTGTTTGACAATTTACACCTCCGTTTGAAAAATAATTGCACCCGATTTTCTAAAAATAGCCAGGATTTAAAGAAACTCAAGTAAAATTTAGAAAGGTAAGATTTCCTTTTCAGCAGTTTTAGTGATTTATAAAGTCTGACTTCAATCCTCAAAGCTGAGAAGAAGAAAAAAGTTAAACTTTTCACTTTTGCAATCTCAAAAGATTAAAGAAATTAATTCTTTTAAGCATAAGAGCCGCAACTAACAGCCAATATCAAACGCAATAATCCTGAAAAAAATGAAATACGAATAGATCACCTTAAAGAAGTCAGAAGCATGCGGGCGCACTTGTTCCAAATCAAAACCGAGAAGTGATCTTGTCTTCATCTCAAGAAGATGTCCTTCAAAAGGCCGAAAGGGACAGTGAACTGTTAAATGATAATTCAACTTTAACATTATCTCAGGTTCCATGGATAGAATTGTTTCCGCATTGGATTTGGGAGTTCCTGACCTCAAACTTTATTTTGATAATAAAAACCCAGCTATATGACAAAAAAACTGCAGTTATAAAAATATATCTTCTACCTTAAATTGCTCACAAATTCGTCAATTGAAAGGTTAAATTCATCTACTTTGGCAGCAAGATAAAAGCAGCCCATCATCACACTTTTGGGGGAATACTCCATTATTGAATGCTTTAAGTAAAACCGTTTGAAATATGCAAACGCAGTCCACAACACAGAATGCCACATTGCAGGTTTGAAGTCTTCAGCAAACCTTTGAAAAAAGATGACTGGTAAAAGTAATTCGGTTAAAGCCAAAAAGTGGAAAAGTATTTTGTTTCAAGCTCTCAAGCCTCCCTTTGGGAATAAAAAACCGCAAGAATCAAATTGAAGATTGAACCTGACTCCCGTTTCAGTTACTATGCTGCGCAATGTGCTTTCTTCTTGAGGAGTGAGAAAAACATCTTCCTCTCCTGGTTCCAAAACTGACTCATATTTCATACGAAATCGTTCATTGGCTTGTCTTCTAAAAAATTCAGCAAAGAAATGATTAAGCAAGTCTTCTGTAATCATAAGTCCTAAACTTTCAAAAACAAAACTGTCATTTAACACATCGAAGAAGATTACCAGCAAACCAAGCCATAATTTGAAAGTATCCGGGTCCGAACAAACAAATGAAAAATCACTGGTATTTACCTTAAGTCAGCAATTACAGTCGCTGAGGCAAATGTATATTCCCGCTTCTGCGTACTTGTCGAGTACATAGACTCACGTGTTTGGAAGCAACACACTCTTAAAAAGTCGGTGAACTGAAAAACCTAGTCTCCTTCGCCCCCTTTGAACCTCAATCCTTTCTACTTCTAAATCGAAACGTAAGAATCTGAAACTTGTCGTCGCCAATAAGCCAGAATAAATGTTGCATTAAAAACCTTACTTCCAATATATTTTTTTTCCAGTTCTTAACTCAAAATGAGAATAATGCTGTATATACATAGGCCAGAAGATCCTTACGCTTTACGAAAGAAACATTGACAAATTGACAATAATTTAATTGTAAATCATGCAAAAACACATTAGAACAAAATGAATATAAATCTAAACAGAGTGACGTAGACACAAGTATAAAAAAGAGAAATTTTTCATTGTACAAACGAAAGACATTTATGTTCGAAAAACGACTGTGGATTCACCAACCACAAGCTACCAGGTAACGGTTTACGAGGCTCACTTCATCATTTGCATAACCTTACTTGCAAAAACAGCCAAAATCTAGCTTAGTCAGAAAAAACCACATATGTACACCCGTATATCAAACTCATTTTCATCTTAATACAGTGGAAGAACATAAGATTCAAGTTTAAAATTCCCACATTCAAAGATAGACCAAAACCATAATTAAAAAATTATGGATAAAAATTCTATTTTGAAAGACCCTATTGAAGCTCAGCCAGCAGAAACGTCTTCAAACAATCTAAGGTTAAACATACTTTGCCAAAAACCTTCGAAAAATGATAACAATGACTAGACAAACAGCCCCGATTTTTTCAAATCCTTCCTAAAAACAGAGTAGACTGAGGAAGAGTATTAACAGAAGCTGGTGTATAAGAGTAGGATTCAGATACCATAACAGCAAAGTATTATATAAAGACTTTGTAACGCTATATGCAAGCATAATGATTCCCTAATACACGACTACAAACTTTAACTATAGTTCTCATTCAACCAAGCAAATTCTTACTAATCAACATTTTCAAAGAAATCTGTATAAATTAGCCCTCCCCAAATAAACTGGTTGAAAGCATTTCAAGTGGTTTGGTTGAAAGTGCCAAAAACCTGAGATGGCTTGCACATTAAAAAGTTCCGATAGCAAGTGATTCATATGACAAAATGTGATAAAAGGTTTTTTGATGACATTATCCAAGTGCGTCCAGCGCGTTGCAATTCTTGAATTCATATTCAAATCGGCATAGGGAAGGAGGTGAGTCAGACTCTTCAGAATAATCAGAGAGAGGACTCAAACTACCGGAGTGTTCATTGGGCAGCACCTGAAGAAAGTAATCCGTTTTGGTGATGCACTTAGAAAACCAGCTTATAAAAAACCTAACGAACCACATGTAACTTACCTTTTCACTTGCTTTTCGTTTTCTAGCTTTTCTGCAGTCAACCTTTTCATCGTTTGGAGCCATACGAAAAGACCTATGCTCCTCATAATATTTGCTGTGCTGCTTTTTTAGATGAGCGACAGTTATATCATAACTAAATTCTAGTGTATTAGATTTACAATGCTTGAAATTCAGATCCTTCCAAGACAAAACAGTAAACTCACCTTTCAAAAAACCTCCCGCAAACAAAGCAAAAGTTCTTCTTCTCAGGAAAAAACCGACGATTATGTCGGACAGTGATATGATAAGCCAATGTATATAAAGATGAAAACGGTTGTTTTTCAACGCAATCACTGTGCATGCAGGTCAACAATCCAGCATCAGCAAGCTCTGGATAACTTGCAAGCCTATCGGCGAGCAACCTCTGCGGAAAAAAAAAAGATGTGAAGATGTGACTTAGATGAGTCTGCAGTCAGTTTTTTAAGCAAGTCTGATCACGAAACGTACCAAGACACTAAAATTATTGCAAAATAGAGCAGAACCGCAAACCTACTTCATCAAAAAATGCGTATCTAGCAGGGGCAACTTTTGGATCATTATCTCGCCGACGCAGATTCATCTCCCTATATTTTATAGAATGATCCTGTGGTACAATCAAAGTCACTTTATCCGACAACAAAGGCTCCTTCTCGGCCATGTTCTTCGGAACGGTCACAAAGACCTATATTTTCAAAAATACTTCCAGGCTTTTTTGAAGCATGTCAAACTTTCCTGTCTCATCTGGTATTTGTTAATTCACCAAAATGGAAAAGATATAACCAAGTTAACTCTCCTAGTAAAATGAGGGGAATCCGAATTTTAGCATTAAAAGTCCCTGAGAAATTTACATTGCTAAGACAAAATAATAATGTAAAAAGCTTTCTCAGCTAATAAACCTGTCCAAGTTAAAACCTATCCAACCTATCCAAGAAGTCAAAAACTTACTGGCAGATAGTCATAACTATTTCTTGAACAATAATTTATAGTATTTCTTACTCTGAAAATAGTAACTAAACAAAGTTTATTATCCCCTAATCCCATTGTATGGAAGTACCAACCTGCTGTCCGTGCTGAAAAGTAGTTGTGGGAACTGGTCTCCAGACGCTAGGCAACCTTTGTAAGAACACCGTGTCCTTAAATAATGTAACAGTTAGAAACCCCTATAATTAAACCCCATGCAAAACAAGAAATAATGATTAACAAATGAATGGAAACATTCTGTACAGTTTCTTGCAACTTTTACCTTACTAGCAGCCAGTTTCTTCGAATAATGTTCTGCTCTCTTACTAATGGCATTTACAATATTTGTCCTCCGTAAATACGCTTTCTTTTTCATCGGTTGTTCTAGATTGCATATAGTTTTTGAAAAATTACACTTTTAAAAACCTACTAAGATTATCTTTAAAAAAAGGAAAAAAACTAATTTGTCAAGGGCTAAAGATAAAGAGGTTCGACACCAACAAAGAACTGAGTTAAAAATTTCCTTGTGAAAATGGCGAACCGCAGTCGACATTTAACTGATAAAGCTACGGAAGAAGTTCAAAAGAACGATGCTGAAAGTGTCATTTCTGATGTTGCGTCTAAATTATTAAGTGAAAAACACTTTGCGCTAACCTGTGGAATCCAGCAACACAGCTTGAGGATCTGCAGATGAACAGTTTAATTCAGACGTAGCTTTCTCATTAACTTGCTGCACATCTGAAGATGATGGCCTTGAGATTTCTAATAGAGATCTGCATATTACGCGCTTATGGCTGATAAAATTTACAATACTTCGAAACAAATTTCGGCATTCCCTTAAAAATAACAAACGATAATAAGAATAACATAATGAAAACTTGATATAATATAAATCAAAAATTCTATCAGGGTAAAACTGCATCTCAATCAGAAAATTTGCCGATCACGATAACTAAAAAATCATGTTACAAAAAATACCTTATTTAGTACTTCCAATGAACTACATCAGAAAGAAAAAACTTTACAACACTTTTTTGCTAGCAGCAAGACAATCTACATGGGGAACAAAATAGAAGAAATAAACATTTTAGCAACTTCTTATGAAAACATATCATGTACGAAACCTGCATTCAAAAATAACACTACACTCGTTAGAGATAAGATTCCGAATCTCAGGACTTGCATCCTGCCAATATCTCACAACTGCTTGCGTTCCGTCTTGCACCAGTGGAACTGGCTGTTGCAGTAGAGGGAAATCATCGGCGTTATTTGGCATTATCTAAATATAAAAACAGCAGTGGCAGCAGAAATGAAACCTTTCCTTGATTAAAGCCGACCAGCTTAGAAAGTTTGGGACAGACACTGTTTTACATTACACTACATTTCAATCAAATCTATAAAAATTAGACGTCGGAAGTTCTAACCGCCACAGCAATCGTAGTGATTTCAGATAAAAATTCATTTTAGAAACCCCTTTCTCAATTAAAAAAGAAATTTTGGCATCTAAGAGACTTCTGGCTATACCTTTAAGGACCAGTAACCCCTGCTTTGACATATTGATACCAATAATTAAAATATGGCAGTTCGAACTTAAATTTCACATAATTTTGTTACTCATAGAAGAGTTCAAGAGAAAAATTTAAGTTTTAATCTGTCAAACCAAATATCCATCTGGTGTCCACGCGTTTTACCGACTATCTACGTGTAACGCATCGCAACAGTGAAATATTTTGACATTTATGATTATTCCCTCCCATTCTTGACCTTTAGGTTAAACTATGCAGTTTCTCTAGCAAAAAATTGGCACCCCACAGCAAGGAAAAGAAAACAAAAGTTGTAATAAAAAAAACAACTACAGAACTTTGTAGTTTAACAGCAACTATACTACAAACCCGTTTCCTGAGCTCAGTCTGCCCCCTCATATTAAACCTTGCCTTTGCAATCAACGTTTTCTTAAATACATATCAAATTCTTTCAGTCGCTTCACCACACTAAGGACTATTAGAAACCAAATCAAACAGCAATCTTAAGCAGATCATAATGTACGGCTACCTGCTCTGAGAGGCACTAGAAAGCATTTACATTCAAGAAAGCCTCATTTCTACCAGAACATCGTGCTCCAGAAAAATAAAGCAGTACAAAGTCATAAATATGACTTTTGAACAAGTATTATATTTTTACTTTTACAAATTGACGAACTTGGTGGGCGACATTTGATTTTAGTTTTTAAACTTCTTCAAGTATTATTTTGTCCACAAAATACACTAAAAACTTTGAACAAATTACTGGTAAACCTTCCTAGACGTTAAGGAAAAATACAGCAAGCATCAGTGGAAGAAAAACAATTTATTTCGATCCTGAGCTGTCAAATCAAAGCTAATCAGAGCTCCATAACAATGTTACAAACGTGCTAAGCTCTAAACTGTGCTCCGCTTGATTTTTCTGATATTAAAATACAATGACAAAAAATTAACTTCACCGCCCTTCCACACAAGCTCGGAAGTCTGCAGCAAACAAATTCGGAAATGGTAATAAGTTGAGGTGAAGTTTGTCAGACTTTAAAGAAAATTAAATAACACCGTCCTTCAGAAAAACGGTAACGGACAACTTTATCCGAACAACTTTTAATATTACAAATTTGTATCGGCAATTCTGAACCATTAGAGAAGAAAACACTTTAGAAAGTAAAGTTTACCAAATAAAACAGAAGTTCCTGCCGACAAAAATCAAAAACAGCTTGAAAACTTACAACTGCTCTGCTGACTTTATAAATAACGCAAAAAACAACTCAAAATTTATAGGAATTTTTTAAGCTTCATTTTCTATTCTCTGTTTGAGCCGCGTTATAACACCGAACAAACAAAAAAACAAAAGAAATTTTGAAAAAAAAAAACATGTGTCTTCCGTAAATCCAGTTTTCCGATTTTAAACAATAAAATTACGAAGCAAATATTAGTGACACCGAAGTTCCTTCATCGTATGAGTTGTACACCGCAGCTCATATCAAGGTATTTTTACTAATTAGAAGGATATGTATCTTCAAGCTTACCTCAAATTAGGCCTTTCATTTGTCCGCGAGAATGAGAATATTAAATATTTTCGGATTCAAACGGTCTTCACAACTTCCCCAGCGCTGTGTCAACCTAAAACAAAAGTTCTTTTTCTCATTTTCAAATCCTTAAAAAAACTGACACGTAAGAGCTGAAGCTTTTCAATGTTAAGGGTTCCAAGCCAACAAAACCTGAACTACAGCGATAAGTCTTCGTCAACTCAGCATTTCACAATCCATAAACTTTCACCCCTCTCGACTCTAGATAAAACACGAAACGCCCGCCAATGTTTTATACCAGGGAATCTGCTCATTTAAGGATGCCAAGACTTTTAAATATCTTAAATTTCTGTTAATCAATCAACCAGCCCTGAGCAACCTTTCTAAACCTAACTTAAACTGGTGATGGAGAAACTGCGAAACGTTTCAGTAGTACCATGAGGCAGAAGTATGACAATTTCAGTGCCACTGGTTCCAAAAATACAGCATACTGTAACAGATTACCATTTTTTTTTCTGTAGCACCAGTCACAGTCTTCCTTCGTAATGAGACAGATTCACCGACAGTAACACTACCTGTGCCGAAAATGCCTTATATCATTTACACATACCAAATGGGCAATACTACTACAGCGACGTCTATTCAGGGTTCATACGGCGCAGCATTAACAAAACTAGTTGCCCAAGGATTTTATGGAGAGGAAAAAATGGTTAACAGAAATACGCAAACCTTAACATCGAGGATGAAAAACCCACACTTAACAAAGATGCCGTAAAGTAGTAAATTCTTCAAAAGTATCAGTGAGTGAAAACTCATATCATATATCTAAACAGAAAACCAGAGTAATCATATAAGGATTCGATGGTTGCAGCTATAATGGTGAATTTGTATTGGCACTACATAGTTGCTAAATTCTCAAATTTCAAAAAACGCTATCGAAAAGAAAGGATTCGAAAATTGCGCAACATCCAAAATCTTCCTTCCTCCAGGTACATTACGAACTAGCACAGATGATTCTAATGGTGTAGACCGGTTAATGACATTTTTTTGTCATTAGGAGGTTCTGTAAAGTTATTTTCAAGGATTCATTGTTGTTTTATTGGCAGCAGTGATTTAGGCAACCAATTTCTGAGAGCAGTCAAGAGCAGATCTAGGTATTTTATCGGCTTTTTTGGTCTAACGATTCGTTTCAGTGAAGAGCTTTTTACCAGAAGTATTAGAAGCATTAGCATTTGTTAATCCTTTCCTTTAACCATTTGTGAAAAAAAAGTACTGTTTAGAAAGCTTGTAACACTGTTTTCCAGTGTTCACCTATTCTTCTTACCTGTTCGATTCTTCATGATTCTATACTCACGTTCACACAAATCAGTTCTTTTTTCTCCCATAGTTATTACAGTGTATAGTCTGTGGAACGCGAATCAAAGGAATGAATAACGTTCCTAAACTAAGCGGATGTACTTTGATCAGGAATAGTCTTGTTACATCGGTTGGTTGTGAATGTATAGATGATATACTTGGAGGTGGTTTGCCAGTTTCTGCTATTTACCTCATTGACGGACCAAATGCGCGAACTTATGCATCCACACTTCTTAAGTACTTTGTTGCTGAAGGTAAATGGTTTTTCCGATTAGTGCTTGATAGGTTAGAGTGAGAATGAATTCGCAACATATTTTCTAAAGTTTTTACTACGGACCAAGGTGTTTTTAACTGAGATAAATTTTACAGGAGTATATTGTAATCACGAGCTTTTGATTGGTTCTCCTTTGGTTCAACGAAATGTTACTTTGGCAAAACTGCCTTCGAGAGTTGAGAACGACACTGAGCAGCAAAATAGCAAGCACTGGAATGAAATAGCAGAGGATACTTTGAAAATCGCATGGAGATACTCCAACGCTCCCAGGTCCTCAGCAGGTTCTTCCATTGGAAAAAAACGCATTTATGACCTTTCGAAACCAATGAGTGCAGACCTGCTTGATCATTGCTACATTTCTTATTATCCTTTCGAAGATTTTCCATCACCTACTTATCAAGGTTTATGGTCTGTTGTTAAGGAGGAGTTGCGTAATTCAAGGCACAGTATGCTTCCATATGTTGGTGCAGAGAAGAGCCTTCTGAGGATCGTCTTAGAAGGCAAGTACTTCCGATTTTTTATGTTCTGTTTAGAGCATCTTCTGCGGTAATCATCGTGAGATAGTTTTGAAGGACTTTAAAAAAGCAACTGGTATAGCAACTAAAGGTTATTACTTCAGATGTTTTATAAGTGACTTGATAATTTAGATTTCGGGTCTCCCTTATGGGAAGGCGAAAACGCTCTGAAGTTCTTGGCTTGTTTGAGGTCTTTAGTCACGGAATCTCTGGCCGTTGCTATGATTTTAATAGACTCTGACGGGCTTACTTCCGATATCCAGGTACGTAACATATTTTTTGTTAGATAGTAAACAAATCTTTGAGTTGACTGTTTGGGGAAAGATTTATGGTTTACAGGAGAAATTTTATTCTTATTGTGATGCTGTGTTTCGTTTGGAAGTGCTCGAAGAAGAGAGGATGGTAGCTGTTGACGAGGAAAAGTTTGACGGCTATTTTCGTATAGTGAAATTGCCAACAACATCATCCATTGCCGCTCATCCCGTAAAAGACACAGATCTGGTTTTTGAAGTCCACCGAAAGTATTTTGAGATTAGGGTTCACCATCTACCACCTCAGTTCTTAAACAAGGGAAATGGACAATGTAAATCATTATGTGATTCCGTGTCCGATGAATTTTAATTTGTAGCAAAACAGTAGCTGTGGATGATAAAGACACTTTCACACCAGTTTCTAAAACTTCGACTCTAGTTTTTCTGCTCTTTTAAATTCAGTCTAGCGCATTTTCACTTCGCTTACTTCTTGTTTAAGACATTTGAATTCTTTTGGTAACATTGCAAAAGTAAGATAGCGCTAAATTCCATTATTTTGACAAGTAGTTGTTCTCCGAAAAATTGGTTTTTTTCGTGGTTTTGGGGGAACGTCGTATATGGCTTTAGTCGTAACAAAATTGTAATTGAAACTATTTATGTAACTTAAAGCAGCGTTTATTGCTCTACGGATTGATAGTGTCAGTTGTTTGTTATTTTTTTGCAGCTTAATAAAGATGTGTGGGAAAAAGCATTTTATGGTCTCAGATTTGTTTTATTAAAGTCTTTTTGCCTAAAATGGTCTTTTTTATAAATGCGGGTGGTTTTTGTTTGTATATCCACTGTATAACGGATAAATTTTACTAACATTTTTGGATTTATAGTTAGTTTATTTATGGTTGCAGACAATTCAGACTTCATACAGACTTAACGCATGGTTGTAATCCTGGCTAGCCGGAGTTGTTACATTTCACGACATCTTACTGCTTTTTTAAAGCGTACTAAGTAAGTGAAATGAGAATTAGACTTACTAGGAAAAGTATGAGCGAGGCGACGTATGTATATTTAACTTTTGTCTGACGTCTGCTTTGTCGCTTCGCCATACTGTTTGAGGTAAAACTGCTTGATATACATTAGAAATGTATCGAAAGTTTTTTGGAAATGTTCTAAGGTTACATATATTAATTTGAGTTTGCTTTTTCAAAAAGGTCACTTTACAGGTGGACAAGTTCAGAGTTGAAAGATGGCGAAGGACGGAAGTTCAGAACTACTTTCGAAGTGCCAAGAAACCTTGATTTGCGGAAGTGGTTCCCTATGCACATGGCTGTACAGTGGAAAAAAATGGAAGGGAAACTTCGTAGCGTTGATCTAATTATTGAGGTGTTTGTGTTTCATCGGCTTATTAGGATTGAGTGCGGATCATGCGTATTTTTCTTAACATTATTGTTGTTACAATTTCTAATTTGCTTCATATTTTATCATTAAGGTGCATGACGCTCGCCTTCCCATAACGGGTCGGAATACCGAAACTTTTTCTTCTCTTTTTGCAGTTCGCCCTCATGTTTTGGTGATGAACAAGATGGATTTGATTGATCTCAAGATTTATAAGTATATAACCCTTCTAGTTTCTTCCTAAAGTCGATTTAACGTAGTTAATATGCAGTTGATTTAGCTTTGGTTTTTGAGATTTCAGAAAGCCTATAGAAGCATATTATGCGAAAAATGGAGTGAAGGATTTAGTCTGGACGAACTGTAAGCAACGGTTAAAAGGCCCAATTCACGAATTGCAAAGCAAATTAGCGGATCTTTTGACGAATACTCCTCGGTTCAACAGAACTGTGAAGACAGAGTTTCAAGTATTTACTAGTTATCATTTTACATAGGTCCTCATTTATAGTGTGCAACGTGGTCTAAGCTGCTTGCCTTATGAGCGCATTCATGTGAAGTCGTGAGCTTCTTCATCCCAAACCAAATTTCTCTTTAAATTTTGCTGTTTAGTAGAGTTTGACTCAAATTTCTAAAAGTGAAAGAAGTACCTTACTGGCCAGTCCTTTCTGAGGGGGGCTTACACGTTTTCGGCTTTAAAGCCCAACAAATTTTAATGAAACGTAACCATATTTGAAGTTCTTCAACATTCTTCTTCTGTTACAGAAATAAACAGAGTCACGACTTCAAACTTCCAATTTCCACTGGGTAGTTGATTAACTGCAACGTCCTTTCTCCTCTTTTCTAGTCTACTCATCCGTGATTTGTTTAAGGTTATGGTGATTGGCATCCCAAATGTCGGAAAATCTTCACTTATAAATACGATGAGAAATGCGAATTTGGGTATGAAGGCATCAGCAGTGGCTGAGGGTTTGTTAACATTTATTTCATGAAATGGCATTTGCAGTTTAAAATCTTCAAAAGCTTTCAATGTAACCACTGTGGTCTTGTCAGTTGTTACTGACCATACCTCTTTATTGGAGTACTTTTTTAAATATGTTAGTTGAAAATGCATTAGTTTTTATAGGTACTGTCGTTTCATGAACTGAGAAATTCAAGATTCTTGTTAGCACTTTCTGTTCCCCACAAGTCCTTCAATTTTTTTTATCGCTTCGGCTTATTTTACCTTCTTTACGGCTGCTTTTAAAAGTATAATACAAGAAGTGTCCGTTCATATGTCCTGCACTGTTCGGCAAAATTTATTTATGGACTAATAATTGTAGTATGAAGGAGAATTACTGAGGCGTATTAAGTGTTGATACAGTAATCTCCTTGTGCCTTATTTAAATTAAGAACTCGAGACCTCTTCTAATATGAAATTGTATGGCTTCACGAGGGGGATTGATTGTTGTACTGTAATATTATTATTATTTATTTATTTATTTATTTATTTTTTCTTTGCAGGAGCAAGGCCAGGGGTTACCGTTCGCGTTCAGAATCGAGTTAAGATATTGAACAAGCCACCGATTTACGTTTTAGATACCCCTGGTCTGTTGTCGCCAAGACTCAATGATATTGAAGAAACAATGAAACTTGCTCTCTGCAACCTTATCAAGGAAGGAGCAGCACCAACTCATTATATTGCAGATTACTTGCTTTATTGGTTGAATAAGTTCGTGCTTTTCTTTCAATATCCTTTAACCACTCGTTTAGCTAGTAATCAAATCCAGCTACTCATTAACCGGGTAAAAGCCAATTTCTTGAGTTATATTGGAAAAAATGGAACAAATAGAACTTGAAACTTTTTTAGACCAAGGAATTGACAATCCTCGTTGGATTAACAGCCCAAATCTAACATTACTTGAATAAGTAACGTCTCACGGAAGTTTAAGATGACCTTCCAGTAAATTATGATGGTTTAGGGTAAGAAAGACTGGCATTTTTGAAAAGACGATTCATTTAAGCTTAGCTGAGGACTAAAATAAGACGAAAGGCTGTTATAGGGCGGCAGAGGTCTCTCTAAACGCTTTAAACGTTCTTTTAAAAGACAGGGATCCTGATTTCACAGTTGTTTGTTGCCAAGTTTTTGCCCCAGTTGGGACCCTAATTTAGAGGCACAAATGGGTTGGGTAAGATACGGTGGGAGAAAATATGACCCGTTACGGAAGGAAGACACAAAATGTATAGTTTGATTTATACTGCTGGAAAATTTTTTGGAAAAGAGAACTATTAGAGCTTGGAATTGAGAAGAAGGGTGAGGGTCGGAAATTTTATTAACGGAACTTAATATGGAAACCCTCCAAAGGTGGGTAACAGCAGTAAGATAGGTTTTCAGAAACTAAGTGGGAATCATAGCTAAGCCTTTTTGCTGAATTTGTTCCTCAATATCAAGCGCAGAGGCTTTTGGGAAACGTTATTTAAGGTGCACTTCACAGAGCCCAGGAAGATCAATGCATCCCCTAGGCTGAAGACTGATCATTAGGTTAAGAACTTAAAATAAAAGCATCAGAGATGATTATCAGAGTGACGTATAAAGTAATTTTAAGCTAGTAGTACACGCCTTGTAGAAGTTTTGTATCTATTTCAATAATAGGAGTAATTATATTCAGTTTTCTGATCCAGGTGTTTAGTGGGAGAGGGAGAGGAGGAGATAGAAGTATTAATGACGAAGGTTCTTGTGTAATGAGCGGCGCAAGTCTTTGGTAGTGACTGTAGAGGCTTCTCGAATGACTAGAGGGTTTACCTTCAAAACTTGTTATTTCAGTGCATCGTAATAGGATTATCCTGAGGTGCGGTGCTTTACAAATGACATTCATATCAAACCAGTAATAACTTTAAACCAGTTTTTTTTTGAGTAATTGCAAGATAAATGTCTGGAATTTGTACCTGATACTCATGTATGATTAATTACAGGACGGGAGATTTTTCATATGTCAAGAATCTCGGTTTAGAGAAACCGTACGACAGCATAAAAGACCTTGTTGTTGCTGCTTGTCAGGCGCAGAACTGGAAGCGAACAGTTGTTTTTCCAGGGAAGGGTGTATTGGAAAGATGGGATTTCGACAGAGCAGAAGAGTCATTTGTTGAAATGTTTCGTAAAGGAAGGGTCAGCGACCAGTGTCTTGACAAAGATTTGCTTTTGTAATTTCACTTGGGTGTTCAGCATGTAAAGGAAGTAAGTGTATAAGAAGTCATGACAACTGCTCAGTAGTTACTGTTAGTCTTAAACTTCACAACCCCCACAATCCAGCATACAAGCTGTACGTTTTTCGCAGTGAGACGTGGTGCACTCCAATAAATCTTCTGTGACTTCCTGAGAGATGCGAGAAATGTAGTTCTGATCTTTGATAAAGGTACTCAAAAAACATTGCATATGTTTAGCCGTTAGATATAAAATGGCTAGAACCATCTCAGGTGAGCAAGAAGAGCTTAATTGATAACACATTTAAACGGTTACTTATATAATATAAAAACCATTATGTTTATTTCTGTGAAACTAAACTAACATTGGAACGGTAATAACAACCTTAATGCGAAAATATATCTGTTAAAAAGTACTGTGATGAGCAGGTAGGGGATTTCTTTTCCCATTCTAATGAGTGGGATTATAATTTTAAGAGGTAGCTGTTTAACGGATACAGTACCTCAGCAACAAAGAAACTTTTCTGAATTAGTCCGTCACTGCAATTTGGGCTGGTGAAGAAAATTTTAGCATTGTTCGGTCACCACAGTACTAAAAGTCACTTACAACGCGCTAATTCTAGCAATGGTATCTACTGACTAAGTTTTACAGACAATTATTTCCTAAAATCTAAAAAAAGAAAATGGTTTCAGTTCTTGCAATGAACGTTTTGCGAAAGTCTTGTCAAATGAGTCAAATCCAGGTAGCTTTTTTAGGTCACCATATCCGACAATGGATGGTGGAAGCACCAACATCCTTTCTGCAATTCGTTTGATATCTTTGTTACTTACGGCCTCTGAAACAGGACTTTTCTTGGATACAAAATACTTTTTTCATAATTCAGCTGTTTCAATTCAAAGACAGTAAGTGGAAGGCTTGTTATCGGTTAAAAAAGGTATAACAAGGTCTCATTTTCAGCCGAATAGGCTGTGGAACGAGTGACTTATTCAACCTACCGATTTCTTTGATATACTCTACAGGTTTCTTCCTGTACCCATGCCCCAAAACCTGTCTTGCTAGGTCTTCAAACATTACAGGTCTAATCTCCAAATTCAACATAAGCTGACTTTTTAGCTGAGTTTTTGCACGCTGTAATTCTTCATTGTGAACACCATCTGCTAACCGCAAAAACTGGTCGGCAATAATGGCTGCAGTTTCTCCAATCTGTAAAAGAAAGATGAGTAGAGATATACTCGGGAACAAACTTTTTTTTTTCAGTAACAGCAAATTTCTATAAAGGAATTGTTTATTTAGTCTGCAGTGTTTGTAAAAAGTAACCTTTGCTGGCGCACTCGATGCTTGAATACAAAATAATCCAGTATCGCCATAAGTGTGATTGAATGCAGTAGCGTTGAACATGTAATGATATCTAGAAAGCAGAAAGAAAGTTGAGGAAAGAGATAAGGGTTAGAAATAACTAAGAAAATAAATTTAATTAGTGAAGCAATATTCTGTGTTGTTGCCACTGCATAACTGACGGCTATTAGAAAAGTAGCAGAATATGATAGAAATCACACATACTTGTTCAAAACGTCGACGTATAGTCGGGTATACATTCCTTTTCCAGGGCCTCCTGCACTAAAACTGCCCCCACCTCCCATCAAAGACTGTAAAACGCAGAAAGCAACAAAATCTTCATCTTTAAAGCCGCAACTTTCGAAACCAAGAACAAAATGAGCCAAGTTAGGAAAAGGAGTTGGTCCTAACGCAACTGAGCTTAGGTCTTTGGAAATCTAAATGGAAACATCAGTGAACAAATGTTAGGTGTACGAGCAGAAGTCTCGGTAAGAACTAAGGTTACCCTCTTTTCTCCGCCTGTGTACTGAGCCACAGAATTATCAACAGGAGGTTCTTTATTCAATAAAAGTGAGCTGTCAGAAGCCCATATAGCTTCTGAGGCATTAAAAAGCTTTTCTGCAGCTAAAACCAACAGATTGTGATCCACTCCAATACCAGCGACTACTATTCTATTCGGATTATAAAATTGCTTCATATACGTGAATAAATGTTGCCGATTGATAACCTCAATGTTGCTGGGTGGACAGTATTTTGAAAAACCAATTGTATTTGCGTTAAATGCCACCTGAACAAACTTGAGTAAGAGGGTAAAACGGTCAATTTGAGATTATTCAGAAAGGCACAGCAGTTTAAATTAAAAATGTAATTCTTTAAAACGCTGTAAATAACCTGATGAATCCAGTCCGTTAACAGAGGTTCACATTCTGGTCTACAACTCAATTCCTTGTTTTCAAAACTGATTATCTGCCTGGCAGTATCAAGCTAAAAAGGAGCTTTCAAAAACAAATTCCATCTGAACGCCAAAAGAACTTACTTCAGCATCCGCTATTAGTGGCCGTAGAATAGCGTCAGCAATAAGAGTGAGCATATCTACAGCTCCATCCACGTGACATGATGAGGCGTAAATAAATGTATCTCTCGTAGACTGGCAGTCGATAAGAGCACCATGTTGCTCAAGAAGTGAGAAAATTCCCTCTCTAGAGAAGGAAACACTTCCCTACGAAGTAAATTTAACGACTATTTGGAATCTGCATAATAAGTGGACAAGCTTTGTAAAAAGTAAAATTCGTTTTTAGATAAGGAGACCAAATGATGCGTCTTATAAACCATCCAAAAACAGCAAGTGAATTGAAAAATAAAAGCTAAAAGGTTACAGAGAATGCAAGTTTCTCGATGAAATGAGATACACCAGAAGGATATCCACTTTCGTACCGCGCACCAGCATTAACAGCGACTGCATTTAAAAACCCAGTGTTAGAAACTTCACTGCTTCTCGCAATTAAATTTCAAAGAATGAATTTTCTGATGGAAAATAACGAACAAAAACTATATCCAGTAAAAGCAATAAACCTCCTAAAGTGCAGTAGTCACCATAATGTGGTTCTGTAGCGACTTTCAATCCACTATCCAGCACAGTGAGCGTCGTATCAAACGGTACAATGTTTGTTCCACCACCGTAAACTACATTTGAATAACCGGGTAACGGTTCTGTTAGCGGGAGAGCATTGAGATCAACATCTGACTAAAATGGCAAAAATAATTCTAATAAAGTTGCGGGTATTCCCGTGACTTCGATAAGACACGCAAAAAAAAAGTTAAAATTTTGAAAACTAAGTAAAAACCCACTAACTTCAAACCTGTTTAACTGACCAGAAACAGTAGCAAAATGGAATGATGAGTCGCTTGACGTATTTTTCGATAAGCGCCTAAATTTCACATACAATGTTCCCATTAAAATGTATGACTTACATTTTGCTGAAGAATGCTTACTACATTAGCTTTACTACCAGTTTCAACTGCTATTGCAAATCTTTCTTTTCTTTGAAAATATGAATTTTTAAATTCCCTTCATAGAGTGATTGAGCAAATTAAAAAAGCTTCGTTTCCACAAGTTTAGACAATTGTAACAGCCTTCGTTCTTCATTACTTAACAATCTTTTACGCCTTCACAAAAACCGCATTCTTACTAGTTGCTTACCGCATATTTGAAAGAAATATCGAGAACTACTATTTCATTAGCTGAATAAATACGGAATTTGATTAAACATAGAATAACAGAAAAAACCTTTTTGCTTCTATAATTCTAAGCCATAGTTATAGGCAAATTTGCCAAAAGAAAAAAAAAAACCTTTTAGAAATTCTTCGCGCTACAGAACCGACATTCTCGATACACCTGAATAACTTTCGCAAAGAACCCATGTACAATATCGACCACTGGGAGAGGACACTGACGATACAAAGCACCGAAACCTATGTCACTTTACCAGCAGTCGCCTAGACAGTACAGGTCAAAAAGTTTAGATAGAAACAGTGGGAGATAAGCAAAACATATCGACAATACAGCTATATCCAAGATCAAAACACTTGACAGACTATACTACTGCAACATCAATCTTACTAGGACTCTCAGGAACATCGTAAAATTCCGCTTGTCAAACTAACAGATCCCTAAATAAACCCAAGTATCAAATGAAATATTCCTTATCTTCACAGCAAAATCGGCTTCATTTTAAGAAAACAGATGCTGTTTGTTAACTGAAGCAAAAACTTCGAAAAGTGCTTTGTGGAGCCTGACTAAACTGGCAGCAAGCCACCACACTCTAGCCGCCAATCTTCCGGTTAAGACCATTGCTACAAACCACCTTGTTCCAGATTCATGTTTTCACGTCATTTATAATTGTTTAGACCATCCATAGGACAACAACCTTTTGATACTATTCTGCATCAGGTTTAGTACTTATAGTCATCCTATGGAACGGCATTTATGGCAAGCAGCGTAATTTTGGTTCCAATATCTTCTTCTTACAAGTCTTCAACCCATACGTGCCTTGGTCAGCAGCACTGTAGTTTTTTCACTTCTTTCTATTATAGGTTCTTCTAATGTGGTGCTGCTGAACAGGCAGTAACGGAAACTGTCATTAGAATGGTAACCGAAGTTTGCAGAGTCTTTAGCACTTTTTTGATGCTGCCAAAAATGACTCCAAAATTAGAGCCCGATATGATATCCGCCTGTATATTGTTAATAACAAGTACAGTAAGTTTTTCTTTGCATTAGTTTACATCGCT